CCACTGATCACGCCGCCACCGCCACCGCCTGGGGCCCCAATAAGCCAACAACCCCCTCCCCCTTAATCCCCCTCCCCAACTCAAACCCCCCCGCTGTGCCAAGCCTGTCGGCACGTTCTCCGGAGCCGAAGTGGCGGTAGTCCTGGCTCAGCACAACCCCGCCTTGCGCAGGTTGGCAACGATGCGCTCGTTGACGGGGGTTGCCAAATCAGGCACTTGGAAGGGCTGCCCCGTAATCCGTTCGTACAGGTACACGTAACGCTTGCTCAGCTCGCACACAAGCTCGGCAGGCGCTTCGGGAAGTACGGCATCCTTGTACGGATCACACCTGTGGAAAAAGCCAGACTCAGTCAGGATACCGCTAGGATACCGTACAGGAGATCGTGGTACGGAAATGCAGGGTCTCAAACCCTGCTGCCCCCCGTGCATAACCCTCCCTCCCACCCCAATATGTTAGGTGACTCCCTCACGGCAACCTCACCCCCATATTTGCAGTGACAGTTACAGCAGTCGTCACAGCGGTCAATGACCTCCCGGCCTGCCGACCCTCAAGCCCCCAGCTAATCCGCCTTTCCACCCCCTCGCCGCAGACTCCACATACAGGGCTGCTTGGGCTTGCAAGCTCGTTGTCCCCTCTCCATGCGCCCCTCCTCACCTCTGTCGGAACCACAGGCGCAAGAACTCCTTATCGATGTTCTCCGGCTCCAGCCCCGCCGCATGTCGGGCCGCATACGTGTCCGCCAGCCAGTAGCGGGAGGAGTCCGGGGTGTGCACCTCGTCAATGATGCGGATGGTGCCGTCCGCGTCCTGATGCGCGGGGGGGGGGGGAAAGAGGGAGCAAGGGGTGAGGCGGCGGAGTAATGAAAACACGTCAACAAGGGTCAGAGTTGACGACATGTCTGCAGCAGCAGCAGCAGCAGCAGCAGCAGCTAATGTGGTAAGGAACCGCGAGTCTAGTACGGTCCTTTACTACACGCATACATACATGCATGCATTCCGACCAGCTCCCCGTGCAAATCCCCTCTATCCATCCCCTCCTCACTTTTCCAAACTCGTACTTGGTATCCACCAGCAGCAGCCCCCTCCGAGCCGCCTCCTCCTGGCCGAACTGGAAGATGCGGAGAGCAGCAGCACTCACCTGTTGGGTTAAGGGGGTTAAGAGGGGGTTAAGAGGGTTTTAGGGGGCTCACGATGGGGAAAAGGAGGTGAAAGAGATCATGCAACGACACCAACGTACGGCAAACATAAAGACACACGGATATGACCAGCACCCATTCACCACCTCCTGCACCTTCATCCTCCTTGCCCTTTTTTATCTCCTAACTTCCCACCACACACACACGCATGCACATACATACACACACCTAAGTCCCCGCCCGTCCTCTCTCCCCCCCAATACCCACGGTGTCCCACTCCTCCTGCGTCATGAGCCCCTGCTCCACAATCTCCTTCGGACTGATGGGCACATCGTGATCCTCGGCCTTGGTGGTGGGGGTGATGACGTTGGCGACCAGCCGGTCGTTCTTCCTCATGCCATCGGGGAAGCTGTTGCCGCAGTACTGGCGGGCGCCCGCCTTGTAGTGGGTCCACAGACTGGTGTCAGTAGAGCCTGTTTAGGAAACGGTTTGGGTTGGAAACGCAAAAAGAGAAACCACCGCCGGGGGCCTCCGGACGTCTCCCCCGGTCAGGGGCCGCCTAGGAGCAATATTGGTATAAATGCCGATGTACCAGGTGCCGACCAAGTGCCGACGTGCCCAGAAGTGGAATGCACATGTCAATTCCAGCTGCCCTAACCCCCCCCACCCCCCTAGCAACCCCCCTCCCCAGCCCCCTTAGCCAACCCCACCACCCCCCTAGCCACCCACCACCCACCCGTCATGAAGCCACGACAAACGAACTCCACTGGGAAGACCCGGCACTTCTTCATGACCGCCACGTTGGGGTCGGGCAGGGTCAGCAGGGCGGAGGGGACGATGTGGGAGGTGGCGGAGAACCACCAGGCGGCGGTCTGGTTGAGAACCTGTGGAGTGGGGGAGTGGGGGGTGTGGAGGGGTCTAGGGTGCAGGGGCCTAGGGTGGAGGGGGTTTCATGAGGAGTCAACCAGACCAGGGGCCTATGTGGGGGGTGATCAGACAACGTTATTGGGGGGGGAGTAGCGCTAAGGCCCGGCCGCCCACCCGGGGTCCTCAGGTAGACCGTGAGGAGGTGGGTTTCTAGTCAGTGAATGGGCCGCGAGCAGCATCAGCATCAGCCGTAGCATCGGCCCCCTCCCTTCCAAGCAACCGCGATATTTGCATTCAGTTCACGTCCGGGCCACTGTTTCCTTGCCTGTCTCACGGCTATCCTCCCACCCTCCGCCCTCTGCCGGGTTCCCTCCGCCACTCGTGCTCTAACTTCCTTCCCCCACACCAACACCGTCCGATATTACGCCTAAAGACGCCCCCGGACTGTCGTTCCCCCGCCCCTCCCGACGTCGACAGTCCATCACTTGTTCCTTGCAATCCAATTCCCCCTCCCCCTCCCCCTCAAATTTCAAATCAGCCAGCCAGCTACTAGTATTCCTCAGCAGCATTTGCATGTCCCCCTGTCCTTTATCGCACCCGCCTCACCTCTTTGTTACCCTTTTGTTTTTGCATGTGTCTTTTGCCACTACTTCGGCGGCCTGGCCAGGTGAGTCCAAAAGGTGGTTCGAGCTTCTTTGGTATTTCGCGTTGGCGTCGGTAGGCTAGCCGGAATAGTTTAGTTTGGGTCGGTCGGGTCAGTCGCGCGTTCTAGTTTTTTTGGGGGGTTGGGAGGAACACTTGCATACCGGCAGCCTTTCAGTATCAGCAATGCAGCTTTCTCTCCCAGCCAGCAACTTTACGCCACTTTTACGTCAGCATTTTTTTCTCGCCGCCTTTACTACTTCTTCTACACCTACTAGTTTACGGTCTGGCTATAATATTTCTGGCGGCTTAGGTAGGTAGGACTTCCAACATCTACGTCAATTCTTCATCCCGAGGTTACAGTCGTCATCCCGAGGTTACAGTCGTCACAGTCGCCACGGACGCCTTTCGGTCAGTTCTTTCGGTTGCTACTATCTTGCCCTGGCAGCAGCTTCAATCGCGTGTGGTTCGTCTTTCCCCCTCCCCCTCCCACACCCCGCCCTG